CTCAAAAATAAATAAACATTAAAAAAAATTAAAAAAAAAAGAACCACTTCCTCTGTGGTTCTGTATTAGTGTATCTTTGAACTCTGCAATGACTCACTTAGCCATTTCTTTGTGATTGAGCCTGTAGGTGGTTTTCCATTTCCCCTTACATAATTAATAAGCAGCTTTGTAAAACAGTCTTTGTCTACATTTCTCAACTGATTCTTAAGAAATGCTGACTCAGAATTTTATTTATTTGTTAAAAATACCGTTTAATGTTTATTTTTGAGAGAGAGCAAGTAGGGGAGGAACAGACAGAGGGAGACACAGAATCCGAAGCAGGCTCCAGGCTCCGAGCTGTCAGCACAGAGCCCGACAAGGGGTTGGAACTCACGAACCCTGAGATCGTGACCTCAGTTGAAGTTGGACACTTAACTGACTGAGCCACCCGGGCACCCTTAAGTCAGAACTTTCAAGGCTTTCCGTATATATTGCCAAATTGCTTTGCAGAAGCATACCGATCATACCGATTTATGTTCCCACAAGCTGAGCAGAAGAGCGCCTTTTTTCTTATGCCCCTGCCAGCATCGATGCCTGTAATCCTTACTAAGTCTGCTAAGTGAAAAGTCGCATCTCATGTAAATTGCTAATTCCTAGTGTATGGCATCTTGTGTTAGTCGGTGAAGGAAGTTTGGCTGTGACGCGAAGTTTTACTTCAGCTAAGGAAACTTGTTCCCTGCAAGTTAACACATTGGCCTAGATTCTGGAACACTCATGCTTGCAACAGACGTTTATCGAGGGTTTACTGGGTGCTCGTCTCTGAGATAGATGCTGAAATTACAGAAATGAAGTCACTGTGTCTGACTGCAGGGGTCTCAGGACGAAGCAGGATCAAGGGCTCAGTAGCTGGATGGTTGAGGTACAGATAAGGGCTGAGATGTGTAACCACACTCGAGGGAGCCCAGAGAAAGGGACACTCCGTGCGTGGTGTGTGTGTGTGTGTGTGTGTGTGTGTGTGTGTGTGTGT